TAAACCTCATATTTTAAATTTATTTCAATTTAGTCCCTTAACTATGTGTGTTGTTTAATTTATATTTTAAAATTTTATTTGTAATTTTACATTTCTTTAATTTTGTCCTTAAATTTATATTTTTTACAAAATTGATCCATGGATATTTATTTTTCTCTTAATTTACTCAAAATCATATACAATTACAACTTACAATTCAACAATCACGAAAGATGACAAAATAATTAATCCAAAAATAAAAACGACCCAACATGAAATCAATCCGTATCTGGTAAACATCCGACCTGAATTTTATCTGTCAATGATGTTACCCGATCTGAACGAGATCCGACTGAAGTGCACCCGAACCTGAATTAACCTGGTCTTTATCTTCTTCGGACCTGAACTGTTTTAACATGAACTGACATCGATCCAAACTAAAAATGACCTAACCTGAACCCGATCTGGATCTGGTGTCAAATTAACCTAAAAATAACCCGAACTGATTTGACTTGACCTGAACCCGATCTGGATCTTGTGTCAAATCAACCTGAGTTGACCTGTATCCGATTTTACCTGACCTGCCAAGATCCGACTGAAACCTGTTCGATTACCTGATTTTACAGCCTTACATGTAGCTGATTTGGTAAAAATTACATATTTTCGTTTGGGGGGCACTTTTTGCGAAGCTCGGGGGACAAGCTCAAACCTGGATGCAAGGCGGTCATGTTTATCACCCTAGATTAGTTGCAGATCTACAAAAAAAACTGTTGCATCAAATGAAATGTTTGTAACAAGCTTCTGTAGAAGACATGAAATGTTTCGTGTCACAGAGTTACCGCGACCTCTTCAAGGGATTGAAGTTGTGTCGTTAAGAGTAAATCTACGGGACAGAACGTGCGACTGTTGGTTTTTTCAAGCTTTGAAGTATTCATGCTCTCATGTGATAGCAGCTTGCTCGCATACACGTCAAGACTATAATTGTTTTGTGGATCCCGTATACCTACTATCTGAAGATATGGATATTCGAGAAAGATCTAGACAAGACAGAAGATGTGGGCATTGTAGAACCCAGGACACACTAGAAAAACATGTCCACTTCTGCTGTCATCAAGTAACAATTGATGAGGAACTGATGTAGTTGTTTATCAAATAAGAATTCTTGTACTTTAATTTGCATTTACTTGAAGTTAATGTCATTCGATAATCGCTGATGAAGATTAAAAAAATGATACCAGAATATGAGATTGGACGTTGGCGTTATGTGATTAATAAAAAGAGATAATAAGTGACAACTGAAGAAAGTTATCGAACACAATTATTAAATTTTATCAAACTAATAACAATTTGGTATTTGAATATAATTTTAAATACAACAAACATACAATAAGTATTAAATGGTAAATTATAAACAAATTACAATAACTGATATTAAATGGTAATAAACAAAATTAACCAAAATACATTAACAAAAAGTCCAACAAATTTAACAAAATAAATTAAAATAAATCCAACCAAATTAATAAAATAAAGTAAGTATTAAATGATAAATAATAAAAAATTAACATAAAAAAGTCCAATAAACAACTAAATACAAATATAATTAAAAAAATCTATCGATGTCTGCGACGCGAATGTGTTCCGCATGGCGGTGGCTGTCAGTCTCGAGGAGGATTTCTTCATATCACTGGTTGTGACTTCTCGTTGTCATCATCATCACCATCGTCGTCATCGTCGTCGTCGTCGTGAGCAACTACATTAGGTTGATGAGGAGCTGATGACGATGAAGCACCTCCATAGAATAAGGACCCTGGATGTGTATGACTGACTATCCCACCGGCCTGCGAAAATTGGGAAAACTCATAAAACCCAGACATCGCTGAGTGTGAAAACTGTACAGGAGGTGTATGTGTTGCGGCCATGGGTGATGAGGTTGAACCCGCCAAAATGTGGGCATATGAACCCCAAGTTAGATATGCAAACATAGACCCATAATATCCTCCAGGAGGGGTCATAAAAACTCTGTGACGGTGGGGGCGCCGGGGTCATAAAACCAGGTGACGATGGCGGCGGCGGTTTCAGGTAAGGGAACGGTGGCGGCGTCATCACATATGACTGCGGTATATAAGTCGCTGTAGACGGTGACTGCTGTGAAGGTCCTGCTGGTGCACTTGAGGATGAACCGGAAGCACATGCTCTCCGTCCACGAGTTGGGGGATGATGGTGCTGTGTCGGTGAACGTCTCTGTCGACGTCACTGAAAGGTTCGCCCTCGTGCATCCTCGAAAAGTATAAACGATTTCCCGTTACTGTTGAACCACTCATAATAACTGTTAGCAACCATCAAGAGGTCAGTAAAAATGGGCTCTCTTTACGGGGAAGGCATCGATGTCGATCCTCCCACAACACGACCCACTCATTATGCCTCACTAGCCAATCTGTATCGGTTTTGCCACGTCTATCCGTGCTATGTAACTCGTCCATATTGCGAGGTGCTTCCGAAATTGGTTGAAAACAACCAAATTACCGGAGCACGCGATCAGTGGAGTGTCACTCGACGATCACATAACAGATCAAAGGGACCATCGCCATCCAAATATCTAATGGGCCCCTCAACTCAGGTGGGATCACCATCCTCACATCATCATTAGAATATGACACCCATTCAAACTAAAACAAATATATATAATTTTTATCAAAAATAATAATCTAATTATACAACTATAATCTAAAATCGATTTTTAAACATTAAAATGCATACCTGTGTGGCAACCTTCTGATCGATTAGCACCCTAATTTTTTCTAAATCATCAGGTAGCTCCTGATGATTTTTCCTATCAGTAGTCCACCTATTCAAGGAAAACAAAATTTATTATACACTGTATAAAATGATTAATAAACGAAATCAGTTTTATAATTACCTCAATAGTAGCAGAAATACGAATGAGTTATTGACAACGTGACATAAAAAGGGCAATCGATACCATGCCCAAGACTGCAGCAGCAGGATACATCCGCCAATAGCATTTTTCCTGTAGTCAGTGGCTTGACACATCTCCCTGTACAGGAAAGCCAAAACTGCCGAGCCCCCAACTGAGTGATCCGGCCAAACGAAAGTCGCCAATATGTCGTAACCACATACAGTGAACTTGGTTGTGTGATTTGTCCGGCATCAACAACCCTCCTATCAGCTGCAGTATGCATGCCCGTGCATACATTTTAACTTTATCATCAGAGGCGTCCTCGCTCAACTCTCGAAAATTGACATCTAACCAATTTAACGGTATCTGACCACCGTTAAAACTTTCCGGGACACTCCTAGATAGTCCCGGCACAAAGCAATCCATGAACCGTGCGCCATCCCCGACATCACATCTCCATCCACCAAAAGCCCCAGGTAAATAGAAACATCCTCAAGTGTAATCGTGCACTCTCCGCACGGAAGATGGAATGTGTGGGTCTCCGGCCTCCACCGCTCCACTAAGAAAGCAATAAGGTCTGGTTTTATTTTACAGTGACCCTCATATCTACCTATGTGACCGAATTCAACCTCTACTAAATACGGCAAGACACGACTAGGTATCACTAACTTAAGGTTCTTAATAAAAGATCTAATACACGGTCTTTCTCCTAAAATTAAATAATTACAAAAATTAATTTTTAAACTAATAATCATACATTAAATAAATAAATAAATTATTACTAATAATTTAAAGTATATTAAAACGTAAAAATATTATCGTATCAGCAAAATGTCACGATATATGATTTTCATCCAAGCGAAGTAGACCTCATTCCATTTTATATCTGCAAAAAAATTTAATTAAATAAAATATTAAAAAATTTAAATACTTAAATAAATTAAAAATAAAATATTAAATATAATAAAAATATACCTTAAACTGTTAAAATAGAATATAAGAGTATTTGAGAGAAGTTGAGAGGATTTGGTGTGATGAAAATGATTGAGAATGAGAGTATTTATAGAGAGGGGGTGAGGTGTGAACGGCCGGGGTAGGCGGGTAATTAAATCTAAGGCGCGCCGCAGGGGGCGCGCTTTTCTGACGTATATCAGATTTATAGGTAAAACGCGCTATAGGGGCGCACCTTATCCCACGTGACTCCAGATCAACATAAAGCGTGTTATAGGGGCGCGTCTTACCCCACGTGGTGCCAGATCAACGTAAAGCGCGTTATAGGTGGCGCGCCTTACTGTAAAGGGTGTTAGATAAAAAAAAATAATCTGAAAAATATCTGACAAAGAAATATATAATGTATAATTGATATTTCGAGAAAAACGCCTGGTATTTGAGAAGCGATCACGTGATGTTATATATTCTTCTGCAGTGTCCCCAAGTGCAAACTTAAGCAAATGCGGCCACAACATGTGTATTTCAGGCCTGCTGCTAGCTATTCCATGATAATCGGCTTAATGCACTCCCCCCTCTTCCCAAAAAAAACATTTTACCTATTTTCCTAAATTGGCACTTCACGTTTTTTTTATCAATAATGTCCTTAAAGTATACAAATTTGATTTATTTTATCCTAAAACTTAACGCAAATTCAACGATTGTAATATAAGTTTTAAAGTTTTTGACGATCAAAGTAGAAGTATCTTAAAAATTCGATGATCTCGATTGTAGTTTACCCTTGCGCCGAATTACTGACAAGTATGTACATGAGTGGAGCCGAACGGACCGACCGACTTCAGGGCAGCGGGCAATCTGCCCGAGCAAATGAGCCTTTTCAACCTGTCAATCACCAACATGTTTCATTTTCTATCCGTACGAGGAACCTACAACCCACCTTAACCCGTATACGTGGTTCGTACTCGCCGACCATATAACTATTGAACCCTTTCCGCTACCACGCGTGAAGTAAAATCTCCACATCAAGCGACTATGCAACTTTACCAACTCCAGTGTCATGATTTTAAAGCTGTTAATTTTAAAGGGACCATATTGACTTTTTAGTGGAGCTCTTTGTTTCTTAGTCTTTGGTGTTTCTCCGTTCGCTAGAGGTTTTCTCTGTGTCTTGGTTTCTGCACACTTTGAATACATGAAATGGGTTTGCAGGATCTTGTCAAGTTTGCATTGATATGCTTTGATTCTCTTGCTTGGTATTTCTTTTCGAAAAAGTTTTCGTTTGATGTAATTAAATAGTGGATTTTGTTAATGAAGTTCTGCTTTGGTGTGCAGGCCTGTCTTTGCTTTGGGTTATCCTCTGTAAGTATCCTCGTAGGATTAATGCGTTGATAAGTGTAGTTTTGCCTATTGAAAATTGGCGATTTGACTGTTAACAGACTTGCTTCCATTCAAGCAATCGAGACTAATTCCAACACCGACGCCAAGAAACTTGTTACCTACTGGATTATCTTCTCGTTGATTTCTCTGTTTGAACATGCTTTCATGGGGATCCTTCAATGGCTACCCTTCTGGCCCTACATCAAGCTAATGATTGTCTGCTGGATGATGATACCCCGTTTTGACGGCGCTTTCTACGTCTACAACCACTTTGTTCAACCATGCCTCTACATGGATTTGCCGACTATAATTAACTGGTTCAAGAGGCTGCAACAGCTGCTTTTGAACAATTTCCTTGCTGATGAATATGCTAAGGCACACAGACCACCTGAAGCTCTAGATAAACTCATTGTTAACGAGGTAATAATGCTATCCATAGGCACAGGGGCAGTTATTCGGAATATTTAGGGTTAATGGTTGATACGAATATATGCACTTTTTTCTCTGTGTTTCGAGAATGATATATTGTATTTATGTGTGAACACAAGCTCTGTCTTCTATATGATCTAATGTTGTGTTTCACAATGCAGCCAAAGGGAACAGAGGCTAGCATATTGCAGAAAGACATAAAACCTGTACGATTATCAGAGAAAACAGAAGTTGCTCCGGTGAACCAGGTTTTATGTTTTTGTCATAATGTTATGTTTCACAATGCATTGCCTCATTTCCCTCTACAAACATTTGATTACGAGTTTTATGTTTTGTTGATAACCAAGCCTGATTGAATGCTGAATCACTTTGCAGAATCCGGCACCTGAACCCGATGTTGTTCAGACGGTGAATAATAAGATTACACTTCCAGAAATCAACGGAGAAGCGGGTTTCAATCTTACAGAGATACCTTTGGAGAAGCAAGTTCAGAAGGAATGGACCTGTGCTATGTGTCAGGTGAAAGTCAGTAGCGAGATAACCTTAAATAGCCATCTCCAAGGAAGGAACACATGAATGCATGTGAGAACTTAAGAAAGGCAAAGAACCAGCCTTGCAAAGGCAAAGCTGGTTCTGATTCGGTGCTTAAAGAACCTTGGAAAGATGGCTCGAGCAGCAATATTCAGGGAAGCCAAAAGAAGCCGAAACTAATTCCCAAAGGACAGGCATTTGCTGCTGCTTCAGTGGCGCCTAAGAACACTGATATTCCCATCAATAATGCATCCACATGCTACAAGGCAGTGAATACTAAAACCGAAACAGGCCATCATAACCTGCCGAAAGAGGAATTGAAGAAGTCGGGAAATCGAGTAAAATCAAGTGAAAATGGACAAGGGCAGCAACGTGTTGGAAAGGAACATGGTAAGACTAAAAACTCTCGGTTTCGGTGCACCATATGTAATGTAACCTGCACTGGATCGGAGGACTTGAACTGTCATCTCTGGGGATGGAAGCACTTAGCGCAGATTCAGAAACTGAATAATCTTTGAAAAGGCAAGCTTACTTGAGTCGAGCAGCTGAACTTGAAATCTCCACAGATGTGAAGCTTAAGAGACATGATGTCTCTCTGAAAGAAATCTCATAAGATTTGGTGTCCTTAAAACATTGCTTTTTACTAGAGCATCAAAGAGTTAGCTTGATAATATGGTGGATTGTATATTTCTGGATTTTTATTATCCAATGACCTACTCCTTCCATCAATCAAATGGACATTGTTTACTACAATCGATCCTATAATGATGTTTCGCTTAATCCTGTAATGTTTGATAACAGGACAGGTAGGTCTGAGCAATTTTAGATATATCCATCTTACTTTTACCATACCTGAAGTAAAACAAACATGAATAGGTAACAAAAGAGTCTGATTCGGGAATGTTGTTGATGGCTGAAGATGGGGTGTGAAATAACTCATCTTCAAAAGCTCGTTGGAACCTCTTGAAAATGAATGTCTTGGGCCGGCATGTCGGATTGAAAATAATTTGTAGAACCACAATTATTACTACAATCCAAATGATTTTCGAATGGTACACTAACTAGATTTTCAACAAAAAAAAAAATGTTACCATCTGTGAGTTACGAAATAGGTTCGGGGATATGTATTGGTCCCACAGGTGTCACAGCTGACGGTATTTCGTTTATGTTAAAGACTTGTGAACTGGGTTGGTAAAATGACACTTTTGAAACCACCTCACTACTGCAGTGCAGGAGGAAATCTTTGGTCCACTTCTTAACTAGACTGCCTGCGTCGCTTACTTGCAACTATTAAATCATGTGATGTGAGTGCGTTTAATTATGGCATGCCTCTTACTCTTCTCATCTAATCTAATATCCACAAATAGTTTTAGATTTTCTTAGTAAAAATGGCAAATAGAATTAGGCAAATATTTCATCTTAAAAAAAATTAATCAACTATGACGAATGAGCGTAATTTGACGAAATAGTCTTCACATGCGTACGGTTTTTAAGTGAAGTGAGTGACTATAGTAGTAGTAGTTGAACGCATGTAAGTCGTCATAGTAGTAGTAGTAATTGTACACATGTAAGTCTTGTAAATTTTTAGGTGACCTTATGCCATAACAGTAAAATAGACATTTTGGTGACCTTATGCCATAACAGTAGTAGTAGTAGTATTTATGTCAGGGTCATCTTGTAAATTTTGGTGACCTTATGCCATAACAGTAAAATAGACATTTTAAAACTAAAATATTATTTAATGTAGGTCTTGGACTTGAAAATTTTTAGGCTAAACATCTTAAATACAGACATATATATATATATACAAAAGACTTAAAAATTTTGGAGGTCGTTACAAAAATTGAAAATCAACATTTTTTTGTAAGAAGCAGCCAAATCATGGGACAATGGCTGCGACATTACCTGCCCAACCGCAACCTCTGTTTGAAATTTCCTTGCTGCTACACGTGAGGATGTAAAAATTGAAGCTCCAATGCCATATCTGAAATAGGAATATGTATAGGGAAAATATAAAGCTTCCATGGTTTTAGAAGACGAAGGAATCTAGGGATGTTGGAATTGAGACATTACTTATTCCCGTTAACAATGTCTATAGCCTCTTCTATGCTGTCAGCCTGTGCAATGAAAAAAAACCACCTACGTCAGAGTGTTTTTAAGCACACGTCAAACTTCACAATTGGGGCATTATCTAAAATCCAAACCATAACAATGATAAGGAACAAACCTCCATACAGAGGAGAACCTGGCCACAAATTTCCTCCTGTGTAAGCCAAAAAATTATGTCATTGAGTATTTACCAAACATTATAGAGTTCAATTCTCTAATTAAGGGAAATGATATCTTACAGAATGAATGTAATATACCTTGTAACATTCCATGCTGACCTTTACATCAGATAAAATTGTGGGGCCAATGAAGTTACCGTGTTCATACCCTGGAACCTACAGTTATTTCATAAGGTAAAAATTTTCGATAAGGCTTTGTTTGGACTTCCTCAAGCTTCAAAGTAAAATTGCATTTCCAAACATGTACAGGCATTTCTACATCAAAATTCTAAAAATCGACATAAACTCTCTACCAAATTTTCTGAAACAAGTTACATGGAGAATCTTGGGCATTCTTTTGTAGCATAATTTCACACTCTTGAAGGTAAACCATTATAAGAAATAAATGAGACTAAAAGACCATTTTGATAAACTTTCACAACTATATTTTAATAACCCCATTGGCATACACCACAATGATCCCTAATAACAGTCTGCCCTCGTTTCTTTTATCTACTGAGGCAAGGGTATTTTTTTAGAATATATGTCTTATACTTTAATAAAAAAATAAAATGTATTCAGACAAAATATTTTTAGATAAAGATAAATTAAATCTAATATTATTTAGTTATAGCCTATAGGTTTGATAATAAATAAGTTATGCCTAAAAATATCATAACTAAATAATTTAATTAAAATATAATTGTAAATAAACTATCTTATTAATTGAATTATTTTTTATCAAATAAGGAGATATAATTTTTTTAAATAAAATGTCAAGATTTAAACTCACACAAGGTAATTTACCAAAAAAGACACACACAAGATAAAACAAATTAAACATTCTTATTCACTCGATCAATTAATAGAATTATTATTTAGACAATTAATGATTTATAAGTTAAAAAGTATTATAATCTAATAAAATTATTTTTTATTTAATTTTCAAATAATTTTATTTTATAATATAATATAAATATTTGGTATCTTAAATAATAAAAATTTTATTTAAAAATATTTAAAATACAATCAAATAATTACATTTGTACCATAGTATTAAAAGAGTGCATATATGAGAAAACAGAAACTCGGATCAAGCAACAAGTTTTTCCCTTGTCCTAAGGTTGCGTTTGGTTCACGGAATGTAAGATTACAAGTGAGAATAAAAGATTATCAGGGAATATGATTATTGAGAATATTGTATTTTGTGTTTGGTTGGTTTAGCAGGAATGTAAGATTACCGTGTTTGGCTAAAGGAATAAAAGATTATTAGAATATATATTTTACCAAATTGTCCTTATTATATATTTGATTTTTTAACAAGTTGGAAAATATTTATATATTTTCTTTAAAAATTTAAATTCATAAAATTTATATAATGTTTTTTTACAAAATTTAAAATATAAAAAGGTTTAATGAAAGGGTAAAATTTTATTTTAACTCCTGAACTTCATATAAAATTTTAATTATAGACTTTTTTTTATAAATCTAAAATAGTTTAAGGATAGATTTGTAATTTAACCTTCATATAATTTTTATTATTCAATGACAGAATAAAGATATTTTTGAAATTTTTTTTAAAGGCATTTTATTCCAAAACGCCGGTAATCCAACAATACCTAAGGAAATGGAGGTAATGACATTCCCGGTAATATACCCCAAAAAATCCACTATTGGTAATGTAAGATTACCGGGAATAACATTCCCAGCCAACCAAACAAAAATAAATAAAATTTACAATTTTTTTTGATAAAATGTTTTTTATTCATATTAACTAATATCATCTTACATACATTTTGCTTTCAAGTATCGGGCTCAGTATAATAATATTTAGGATAACTCTATCGTTAAGTACTTAAACTATTATTTTTGTTCCGCTTTGATATTTAAATTTTATTTTTTTAAATTATACAAAACATTTAATTTAGGTTTGATTTTGATAGTCGCCATAAAGGTTTGGAGGAACGACTATATGTGACACTTTTATGGGTAAATTATATCATTCATCACTCAACTATCTTCTTACTCCTATTTTGGTCATTAAAGTTAAATTTTTTTAATTTAACTACTCAAATTTCAAATTGCTCATATTTTAATCACTTTTAATTTATTTTATTAATATTTTTGTTACATTACATTTTTATTAGTATTTGATTAGTGTATAATTAAAATTAAAAAATAAATTTGAAAGTTAAGTAATTAAATTTAAAAAATTAAACTACAGCGACCAAAATAAGAGTGAGAAGACAATTATGTGATGAATGATATAATTTTCCTATAAAAAGTGTCATGTACAATATTTTTATTTAGTTTTTAATGACGAGATATCAAAACGAAACAAAAAATAGACGTTAAGTATGATTTTTAAAAAAACAAAACTTTAGATATCAAAATAGAATAAAAATAATAATTTAAATATTAAACATGTAGTTTACTCTAATATTTATCGTAAATTACTTGCCTCATTTAAGTGTTTATTATAGGAAAAAAGTTATAAATGACTTTGTTGAGTTAATCGATTGATGAATATGGCCAAGAGGGGGGGTGAATTGGCAATAAAAATTTTGGTGGAAGCTTTTGCAGAAAATTGAAAGAAATTTGCACAACGATTTAGAGTGGTTCGACTTTCTCAACCAAAGTCTACGTCCACTACCTTAGCTATCCACACTAAGGATTTTCCACAAATTCACTAATTTGTCTTTCTTTTGAGGACAAAGAGTAACCTTACAAACCCTCAAGAATTATACCCCAAATTCTTGAGAACACTATCTCCTAAAGAGAACAATACAAATTTGCAAACTTACAAGGAAATCCTCACAAGGTAGATTGTTTGCACAATTCTAGAACAAAGAAAGAACACTCAGAATAATACAATTGAGCACAATAAGTGTTCTTGAAAGCAAAATGAATATTGAATGAAAAATAGGCTTGAAATGCTCAAACTTGAGGTTTGATACTTTCTCTTTGATTCTTTCTTGATTCTAGTTGCTTGATGTTTCTTGTTATTGATCAATGGCTTCTAAGCTTGCTTAAATATACCTTGAATCACTTCTGAACGTTGGGGATCATTAATGAAGTTTTTGGAGACGTTTAAGTGTGAAAACAATTAATATTTCTGCTTGGAGCGTGGGGGGAATCGGTACCCCTAATGGGGAATCGGTTCCCTAAGTGTAAAATTCAAATATTTCGATCGTTGAACAGTGGGGGGAATTAGTTCCCTCCGAGCATACTAGAATTCTCGGAGCCAAACCATTCAGGGGGAATCGGTACCCCCTTTGGGGGGGAATCGGTTCCCTCTGAGAAATCTGGAATTTTTGGCTTTAAAATGGTTCGAAATATTTTGTAAAATCGTTTTGAAATTATTTTAAGATTAAAACTTAATTTTACACTTGAGTAAGGATTTAAAATGAACTTTGAAATACTTTGAGTAATATTTTGATATTTGATTTAATATATCGAATATGCTTAGAGAAATCATTTTCAAAATTAAAATTCTTTTAATTTAATTTGTTATATCGAAACATCAAAATGTTTTCAACAATCTCTCCCTTTTTGATATAAAAAAATATTTTAAGATTTTCTAATTTCAAAATGAATTTTGATTTTGAAAAATACTACTCCCCCTTACTTTAACACTACTCCTCTTCAAAAACGCTTTTAACATTTCTCCCCCTTTTTGTTAAATCAAAAAGACTCGTAAAGGATTTTAAACAAGATTTTGAAATCATTTAGCCAATTGATTATATATATAAGAGAAAATAAGCTGCTAAGAACATAATCAAAAGAGATGTTAGCCATTAGTTTCATAATCAATATTCATAAACAATGTGACATGGTAAAATTAGTCATATATCTAACATGATGTAAATGATGCAATAATGAAGAAATTTAACCACACCAAATATATAAGTTCAAACATCCATAATCCATCAAATAAGTTCAAATATCCAACAACAAAAGGAAAACAATCCAAAAACATTCAAAAAGTTTAAAAAATATTAAGTAGGCAGGACGGTTCCAGCGCATACCAGATGTACATCATGATGATCCCAACTACGCATATAACATATGCAGCAGTTGCAAGTGACATCATATGGATCCAACAGAAGAAAATGTAATACAGTTCGGTTTGATAGAAATCATTCAGCCATGTAATGAAATTGATGACACTTACAAGCTGAACTAAGAGGAAGACCCTGAAAAGGATAAGAAGAAAAATCATTGAACAATAAGATTGAATAAATATAACTTAGGAAGCATCTTAAAACTTCCTCAAAGGCTACGACAATAAGATTGTACATGTTTTATACAGAGGAATTTATAACAGGAATCTGTGATGTACCCGGCACCAAAATGCACAATCTCCCCTGCCAAAAGAAGCAACGTTGCAACACACGTTAGAGCTTTGAGCAAACCAAAGATTGTGCTTTAAGTCGTAAGATTAATCATTAAAGAAGATACAATGGCGGTAGACATTTCAGGAGAATTGAACACGGACCGTATTTCTGTACGATAATAGTAGGAACCAAAAAGGCTATCACCGTCAAGGAACCAAAAAGTTTTAAAAGACAAGGCTCAAAATAAGCATGACCCTCCTACGTCAAACCCAGTACTACTGGTTTAATCTATAGTATCCTTTTACTAACTGCTTTTGGTGCAGTTCCTAGAGCTTAGTTTTAGAGTAAGATAACCATACCAACGGAACCCCCTTCAGGAGTTTTAGTTGCTATATATGAAAACCCATCATCGGGAAACAAACCAATTGAATTTTCTGGCATAGAAAGAACAGTATGACCCACAGATTTATGGAAGAACATAACGTTAGAGTGAAAACTAGTAAAGCTATGATAATTTAAAATGCAAGATCAAATATTTATGGGCAGAAAAAAGATCAGATTGTACCTCAGTTACCACTATGTAGCAACCAGACCAGATAGGCCAACTCCAAAGCCCATTGTTATGCCATCCATGAATGATATATAACCGTAGAGCCTGAAGCACAATGGTTCAGTAATTAAGAAAATGTCCATGCATGCTTATCTTTATGTGTGAAAGCAATATAAAAAAAATTATGTGTGAAAGCATCTGTGATGTTCAATTCTACTTGAGAATATGAATTTTAGTAACTCACACGTTTTCCATCCATGATAGATATCGAATAAGCAGCCAGCTTCGATAGTCCTCGGACTTGGGATGCACGAGGAATGTGTGCCTTCCCATGCCACAATTTTTTTTACTAAGAAAGCAAAGAAAGTTGTAAATTAGTTCTGAAAGATTTCCTTCAGTCAAAACTGCCACATTCCCCAGTAGATTAAAAAATGCGATATCAGAGTTCTTCACCACTGCAACAATCATGCGTAACCAGTAAAAGTAAATTTAAAAAAGTGAAAGAATAGGATACAAATCATACTAAAACAATAAAGCTCAATGAGAAATCGTGCAGTCACAACATCCGCATAATGTTGATACCAGGAGTAACAGCTACTAAAATTGCTCCACGAAACCCAGAACTGCAATGATAAGTGTTAACTATTTCATCAGCAACATCTGGGTAAAACAAGATAGACGCCTCAATGAGAAAGCAACCTGAATAATGGCCAGCAAAGCATGAAAACTAGCTCAATGCTTATATGCAAAAGCTTCCGATTCAGTTTCTGAACAGGAAAGAAAAAGGTCATGAAACTGTATACTTATCGCTATTCCTTCCTCCCAAAAGAAGTATCTGTAGAAAAAAGAACATTGCGATAAACCATAGTTAAAACAAATGCATTGAACTTAAATTACATGTCAATTTACACAGAATTATTTTCACTAATTTACACTTACAATTATATTCTCTGCGATTAAAGTTGTGTCAGACCGAAAAATCTCAACATTTCAGAGTTGCATACGATAATGTGAGGCTTAATCTATTTCATATCAAAGAGAATATTGGCGAAAGCTCGAACAACTTTAGCAAGGCATGGAAACAGAATGATTAATCGACTTACTGGTCATTAACAAGAAGTTAGAAACAATGTGTTTATGCTCCGCTCAAAAACTGCAATTGACTAGAGTATAAGAATCCGTTTATTACCTAAAAATAAATCATGTAACTCAACACATTTCTGTGCTTTCAATTACCAGAAATCCAGTCCTCGGAAATCTCCTTTGCAAGCTGCTCTCTTTCTTCATCATCTACAGTTTACATACATGAAAACATAAATGATCCAGGACATTTGATATTAAGTAAAATCCAAACATATTTAGAGATGCATTTATCACCAATACCATACAGTATGTAATGAAAGGATTAAACAAAATAATTATACACGTTGATTATTTTAATTTGATGAGCAAAAACGTACGAATACAAAAAAAAGTGACCAATTAAGTAGTTTACCCAGAATAAGATGATATTTTATACTTTGTCAGATTTGTGGCATTTGTGGATGTAAAACTTCAATATACATTATGAACTTGATTCTCGCACTAATTATGTTTATTATGCCTATATACTATATAGGGGAAAAAAGCATGTCCCTTAAAAACCCAATCACTAGAATGCAATTGCTAAAACAAGATGAAGAAGAAGCTGGCAGTAATCATAATTCATAACCAGAACAAATACTACATCAAGGTTTGTGTATTTAACAGGCTGTTATTAAATCAAGAGAAACTATTGAAAGAGCACTTCTACAATGAAAACAAAATAGATTACAAAATTTTAAGAAACTGAAAAAGGTTAGCGTAAACTATATTGTACTTTCAAAAAGTTCTGAGAGATGCAGACAGTTCCATACAACAGCTGCCAATACAATCTTACCATAACATCAAAACTGCTCATATCTACTACATAGTAGGAACTGAAAAGAATTTCCTTTTCTCGAGATTTAGAAAATTACTTCAAACCCCTTCAGGTGAGACGCAATTAAACAAGCAGAACACCACCTCAAACTCTTACCTTTGTGCATCTAGGTGTTCTTAGATGCAACTTTAATAGCAAAAGTTGGATCAAAATCAAACTCTCTTCACAATTTCTGGTAGAAAATCATATAACTTAAGCTTATTGTACATGGTACATCTTGCTTCAACCAAGCAATCTCTTTTTTTGCACTTAGTCTCAACTCTAAGGGGGCGTTTGGATGGGGGAATGTGGGATTCCCCCGGGAATGGAATCCACATTCCCCCGTTTGGTTTGGCCGGTAATGTCATTCCCGGTAATGTTTTATTACCAATAGTGGATTTTTTGGGGTATATTACCCGGAATGTCATTACCTCCCTTCCCTTAGGTATTGTAACATTACCGGCGTTTTGGACTAAAATGCTCTTAAATTTTTATTTTTTTTTCAAAATATCATTATTCTGTCATGAATAATAAAATTCTACGAAGGTTAAATTACAATTTATCCTTAAATTATTTTAGATTTACAAAAAAAAAGTCTATAATTAAAATTTTTTATGAAGTTCAGGGGTTAAAATAAAATTTTACCCTTTCATTAAATCTTTTTTTTATATTTTTAATTTTGTAAAAAAAATTATATAAATATTATGAATTTAATTTTTTGAAGAAAATATATAAATATTTTACAACTTGTAATATTATACAAATATATAATAAGGACAATTTGGTCAAATATACATTCCAATAATCTTTTATTCCTTTAACCAAACACAGTAATCTTACATTCCTGCTAAACCAACCAAACACAAAATACAACATTCCCAGTAATCCTATTCCCTGGTAATCTTTTATTTCCACTGGTAATCTTACATTCCGTGAACCAAACGCACCCTAAAGAAATGTAAAAGTCCTAGCAGTTTCCGCTAAATCATTGAGTACACTTTCTGTCAAACAAATAGCATAAAAGATATCTTAAGTTGTTTGTAACTGTTTAAAGACTGGAGTTATAACAGCTGATATTGAACGTTCCTGCAAAATAACAACAGATTAACTTATCTGAAAAAAAATTTCTTGACTAATATGACCTTGTCTTCGAAGAAAATTTCAGTTTAATAAAAAATATAAATAGCTAGTATTAAACGTTTTCACATAACTAAGATTCAAGCTGGACAAACATCAAACATGTTGAAAATAAAAGGTGCATTTCCCTAGTCATAGTGAAATGACCATCAAGATGCAGTTCTTTATGACATTGTTCTCACCACTTACAAAAAATGATTTTCCTTCTAACGGGAACAAAAACAAATACAATAAAATATTCAAGTAAGCAATTCACACAATATGATTAATGAACTTACCCTGTGAGCAAGTTTTGATATCATTTCCAATGTTTGTAACACTTTTCGCCCTTGTGTAAGTTGACTTATGTGATCAATTAGAGAAATCATATTTTGGAGAGATTAACAGGCAGTATCATTGGGCAAAAAATAAGCAGACATAAAACACTTTCTACATTCTCAATCCACAGAAATAGGTAACATTGTCACAATCCTAATGATGGATTCAAGCAGTAAACTTAAATATATCCCTATTCGTTGTGTTTTACTTAGCTACCCATATTCACTGTCTTGCAGATTTAAAATAACAGGCCCAGAAAACTCATTATACGTAGGAGAGAAAAAAGAAGGTGCAACAAAAACAAACTTATCAAACATCCAGCTGTAAGAGTTGTTCCTCTCTACGCCAAAGCAAAAACTATGAATTGTTCACAATTATAATGAAAAAGGACCCCGAATAGAAACAGAGGAAAATTCACAGATGCGCAAGCAGAAATGCATTAAGCCACAGATGAGCCACCAGGAGATCGGTAAGCAACAGAACGAAAACTTCTAAAATTCTACTCCAGCATTAAAATTTCAAATTTTTGCCTGCTAAAATAAGAAACCAAGTAAATGAATTAAAAAACTAAAATTTCCTTTTTCCTTTTACCTTTGAAACTAAAGAAAGAGGACGAATGTCGTTAATTTCACAGTAACAAAAAGGCAAAAAGTCGTTACCAATTAAAAGAAGCAAGGGTAAACTGAACACACCGGAACGAAAACATCCTGGAAGTCAGGAGATTGTCCACCCCGAGAATGGGATCTTCAGGAGCCTGAACAATGGCTGCAAACACTGAATTCATTGCTTCCGAGGAGAAACATCGGAGACTTATACTCATCAAGCCAATCTTTGTGCATAAGCTTCTGAAATCCCCTAAGGAAATGAGAACTTTGTTGACGTATTTGCGAGGCACCACATCATTGTGTCACCAACATGCAAGGTAAAAGACAGATGCATTAACCTAATTTGAAATGATCTCAATACCTGAAAATTCAAACGGGGAATAGATACAAGGTGAATAAATGTGATTACATTCTCATTAGTAACACGTATGTTTTTTCCTCCAGGAAACAGCTCTTCTTCTGTTTGTTCTCCATATTCATTGTTCACAATTACAAAGTATAACTCCAACTCTGAAATATTTTCTTTATAATGCTGAAAGCCATGACAAAGAAGGGTGGGTAGAAGGATAGACAACGTGAAATAAGGTCAAATTTTGGCCATGAAGTATGAAAGGAAAACAAGTTAAAAATTAGAGCTTTCCAAGTAAGAACCCAGAAAACCAAATGCCCAAAATGATCACTGAAGATACTATTTTTTATCCATATTATTATTATTATTATTAATATTATTATTATCATTATTAATATTATTATTATTATTATTATAAATATTATTATTATCATTATTAATTATTATTATTATTATTTTTTATTATTATTATTATTTTATTATTAAATATATTAAATACATATAAATTACAAACCAATTACAATTAAACCGGCCCAGTTACAAACCAACTGAAACCGGTCCAAATCCAACCAGAAACCCTAAATATTTGGGTTTCCAGTTAGGGTTTCCTAACCCTAATCATCCTCAGCCGCCTCATCACAACCGTTGGATCTGGCACGATCCAACGGTCCACATGGTTCCAGAGAGAAACCCTAGGGTTTGATACCCTAGGGCCACGCGGCGCCGCCCCAGCTTCCATGCGGCTGCCGACAGTCTTCTCGCCGCTCCGCCGCTGCCACGTCCCAGCCGAAGACTCCAGAAGCTAGAACACCAGCCGGCCACGCCAAGGCTACGGGGTGAGTCACCACTGGTAGTCCGTGACTCACCGAAGCCCCTCTTCGGACCGGTCCGAGACGAACACCGGTGGTGGCTATAAAAGCCACCACCCACCTGAAAAAAAAAAAAGAAAAGGAGGGAGAGACAGCAAGAGAGACAGAGACTGAACCAAAAAGAAAAAAAAAAAGGAAAATAGAGAGATATAAAACTACCAACGATCCCAACAGAGCAAAAACAAAAAGAAGAAGAGAGGGGAGAAGCTTACCAAGGAAACCTTGACCGTCGCCGGAAACACTGAACATCGCCGGAGAACCGAAAAAACCGAAGGTATATTTGTAGATCTGCTCCGATTGGGATTCATTTAACGGAAAAAGTATCGGGACCGTCATTAGACGGTCCGATCTACATTTAGATATAAAAAAAATTTTTCCGGCCACCGAAGACGGTGGCCGGCGGCGGTGGTTGACGGCGGATGAATGCCGGCTAACGGTTGCCGGACGACCGAACTTCTCTCAGTTTAGAGAGAAGACAGAGAATTCTTCTCTCTGTTTGAGAGAAAGAAAAAAAAAAAAAAGGAAAGAAGAAATGAAATGGCTGGCCCGAAGGGCCAGCCGATTTGGACTTATATAGTCCTTCCCGAACGACGTCGTTTCGGGAAGGACTAT